CTTCAATGCGTGGGCGTGTATGTGTCTGCACGACAGAATGCAGGTGACGGGTGAAACACGTGCTAATGTCTACACGTGGTGTCTGTGTCATAAAGTTCTAGCTAATACGACACTCCTCCTCCTCCTCCACCTCTCCTCCGCCTCCTACTTTCAGGCTGCTAATGTAGCCAAATGTATTAGAGCATGCTTGGCACCTTCACATAGCTTAGTAGCCTATGGCATTGATGAGCAAGTTGTCGATTGGTCCTCCTAAACTGTGGTGAACCAGGCAAACGGGAAGTTTAGCCTCGGTTCTAAAGCGAATAACTTTATGCAGATCCAGTTAGAGGTGATATTTTGACTATTAACCTTTACAAATGGCTCCTTTTTCGCCTTATTCACTCCACTTCTAACAAAAACAAGAGATTTTTGTTTGGTTGGCAATATGAGGCTAGCTTTAAGTAGAATATTGCTAGTCCCTTTCATTATATCTAAAATCTGTGGGGTAAAGTGGGCTTTTGATCCTTTTAGTCTTTGTCAGCTTACTTACAATAGAGGCTTGACTCATCAACCTATAAGGCATGATTAACTCTCCTTTAGCTTCTCAGTTCTTTGTTACTGGCACTAAACATTCCGCTTTACCACTACTCTAGTGTTTTCCCCTAAACGAAATGATTCGCCCGTTATATACTACTAAAACAAGTGTCCAACTTTAAGAAATCAGAAATCTTACCATTATTTAACGAAGACAAGTGAATGTCTTTAAAAGGTGACCGTTTTTTGGGCAATACGACAGTTATGAGATAGGCCGGCCTAAATCCTATCCTCTTGCAAACTGAGGTTTTTGAGTTCGCCTTGTTATCAACGCAAAAACACGCATGACATGAGTTGACCAAAAGTTTGTGTTGATTTTAGTGCAGCTCATGTCAATGAATTCCCTTAACATGTGTAGGTGTGCAGAATGCATGAGGCTGTTTACATGCAACATCATAACTATGTGCAATTCTCATTTTATAGAAAGCAGGACTTAATTCCAGATTTTCTGCTTTACAAACTCAGGATGATTCGACTTCAGTGGTACAGAATATACCCGCAAAGGTTCTTCATCTGATATGCGAAGGAGGTGTAGTAGCAGATTGTGTGGTCCAAAAACAGTTTAAATCGTTTAGCGCTAGTGATTCATTACTACATATTTATCGAGTTCAATAAGACCCTCTATTCTTGAATAAAGAAATACGCACAGCTACAGGCTAAAGTAAATGAGGAGTAAGATGTCATGATCTCGCTGTCATACTTAGTGTAAGAGGCAAAATAATTCAGCAATAACTTCGTCATGTAGGAGGGAAAAGCCATTGAGGCAGTAGAGTAAATGCTTGTATGGACAAAAACAGGTCCGAAAGACCATCGCTTCGTTTATCGTCGCTTCTTGCTACGTACGTTGACTACCGTGTGAAAAAGCATGATTATTTGTATCTCAAGGGCCCTTAGCTCCCAACATCTAGGCTATGTACCACTCCATTCTCATAAAGTTGCAATTTCCGTGCGGCGGACCGCAGATGCGTCTATCCGCCAGGATTTGCTTGCTAAAGATCAAGTAGTTACGACTGAGATCCATCTAACTGATAGAACTTAATACACCCCAAGGGTGTGCGAGAAAACTTCTTCCCGAGAAACACTCAGAACTAGTGAACCAGTGGGAAGATTATCCTATTCTTACTCCCACTAGGCAACTTAAGACCTCTTTTCACAAAAAGCACAGGTGAGAAGAGTTATACTTTAGCATCAAAGGGAGCACTGTCTCACATCATCATTCCCATTCCTCTGGTGACATCATTTTGGATGATAGTTATCACTTGTCCTTGAAATTTGATAATCAAATGCGAATTTTGATGAAATAACCTTGAGATAGGAACGGAGGAGGCTAGAGGTAGGTTGCCTACTTTTAGAGATAAAATCTTTTATGAAAGTGGGAATTGAAGGCTTGGAACTCGCTAGGAACGAAGGAAACTAGTAATACTTGATTGTAACACGGCATTCCAGTTATAAGATGCCAAATACTTAGCCATCCACGCACTCAAGAGACCATCTCAAACGGCTTAAAGGTGTTGTGGGATTGATAGTTATAATGTGTGCCTATGAGCAATAGATTTTGTAGTCCTTAATAAATTCAGGAATCTTGCAGATTTGAAAGTATCACACGGGCGAAGAAGTAAATGCAGGAACAAATAAAAAATCGCACTTTTGAGTGATTATACCCTCTTGAAGAATGTTTAACATTTACTCTCCAGCAGAAACATTCAAGAAGTCGGTATATATTGATAAAGAAAGATATTTGAATGGAAAATCCACTTCTACTTCCACACAATAACCGCTGTCGGTGACCGGAAGTGGGGCGCTAGTGATCTGATCCCAAGTTTTACAATGACTCATGGGGACTCCGGGCACATGGTTGACCCCTACCTCCATTTCATCATGCGTACACACCCCCATTCAGGGAACCCGTGTGCTGAAAAGGGGAATACAAGAGGGACACACACTTTCACAATGATCTTATGCATCACTCTACCTCAAAGGCACCCTGAACATGGCATTCAAGAGATCCGCTTCATGCAATATCACTGTAAAATTCATCAGCACGATTACAAAATCGTGTAATGTCTGCCATCACTAGTTTTTTTTCCGTTTGCTTAGATGCTCCTGAACACAATGAATATTTATCAGCATACCACCTATTACATGTCTCTGTTAATCCGATACTGCGTATCTGACTCTATACGGTCAATCCAGCTAACCTGTGGTCACCTCATAAAGGTCGGTTAGTGGTGAAGTAGTGCTGAACCGAATTGGAGAAATGCAAATTTCTTGCAAGGGAGCATGTCAGTCGGTTGGGAGACTAATGTACTGATATGGGATACAAATGAGATTAAATCAGTTTTTCAAAGAGTGGAGCTTCATATCCAGTCAAAGTTAATGAGCTAAACAAAGGAAAGTGTAACAGGATACAGGCTTGTATTTCTAAATGATTGCAGTGTTGACCGCAAATGATTGATTCCTCCACTTGTCACATAAGTGCACCACAAATGTTTAAAGTACACTACTGCAGTTACAAGAATAACGTCTGTTATCCAATTTCGTTGATTTTAAAGTTATAGCCTAAAGACACCAAATTCTACAAAATCTGTAAACTCTGGATCGAAAGATGGAGAGATTCATTTACCTGTTTGATTTGAAATGCGAACTAGGTGTGCGTCCTCGAGTTCTCAAATGCGTTTCAGCTTAAGGCGTAAGCAAAACCGGCTTAATAGAAATCGGGATTTTAATAACAAAATCTTTAGACACACCCTCTGAGATCGTTTTGCAATTCGAATAAAAATTGGGGAGGTAAGCATATAAAGTGAAATGGACATACGTATATTGTAGCAAAATATCGTATCTGTACGCATAAAGGCAGATGTGATTTTCGATAGAGACCGGTATGTCTTCTTTGTGTGAATGTGCTCAGATGCTTATGAAGAGCATCAAGACTGCAAGACTTGAAAAAGCGGAAAGAAGTTTTGCACACATTTAGGTACTATGGCGTCGGGTAGGGTATTTGGCAAGGGATTAGCAAGTTGACCTCACCTCAGCTCCAAAAGCCCCCGTCTTAGTGTGCCCAGATAGTGGAGGTCTGTGTTTCAAGTCACACCCCGCCTCACCCTCCTAACAGCAGTTATTTTAAAGGCACAGATGCGATCTAGAGGGGTTGGGATGATTTCTCAGTCAGCTCTAAAATTCAACCACTCATGCTCTTAAATTGTTTATTTTTTCGCTACATAAGTCATGCAAGTTAGCGTCGTAACACGCATCTTAGATCTGTCGCCTTTGTGCGTTGCACACACAGGACCAATTTGAATTTCGTTATCAAAAAAGGTCACATCTGCCTCACTCTTTAAAACCCACTTCTCTAAACTTGATCCCACTAGCAGGATGCGTTTTCCTCAAGGAGTGGTGTCAAAGTTTTCACACAATTATGTCCTAACTATCTGTGTATTCTGTAAGAAATTACTTGCATTCATTTATTAATGTAATTCCCAAGTTTTAACCACACATAAATGATGGTTGGTTAGGCAACGAAATAACCGTTTTCTTCGTTATTTAGAAATAGTGAGTCGTTTTATTTTACTCTAAGTGTTTTTCTTGCTCGGAATAACTATATTTGTGTGCTATTCCATGCTAACTTGAAGCTCCGTGTAATAGAAGCCTAAATACATTTTAAAAGTTCTCCACTTACTTTTTTTTGACAATTCCCTACGAGAAGCACAAGAAGCTGCATGCATTAACAACTTTTGTTTATTACCAAATATTACAAATAAGAATGATCTCCGCGTCTAAGCTACACGTAACATACCTCTAAGCTGACCCCTGCATGTGGTATGTGACCATCACTGACATCACGAAGAATAGCGTCACTGCCACGTAAGCAACATTTTGGATGCTGGAACCCGTCACTGACTTCACTAAGGCTGAGATGTAAAGAAAGGTTGTCGTTCATATTCCCTAATAAAAAAGACCTTTATGACTTTCTTTTAACCTAGAGTACAGAATAAGGTTCCCACTATTATTTGAACCAAAAATTTCCCATTAGCATAAATTGGGCCAAAAGACAACAGCGCAAATCTCGCATATGATTTAAACAAACCGATTGTATTGTGTTCCTCTGCTCAAAAGGAACCCTTAACTTAATCAAGTACTAACCCATACATCCCTTTTCATGATGCACCCAACCCCATAAAATTTCTAGGCCGTTTCTTACCATACCTTAGTTGTTAAAACTTTTTTGGCGAAATTGCCGAGTTATATTGTGTTTTGCGGCTCTAAGTGAATAGAGAGCATTCCAAAAAAAGGAATGTTGGAATTCCGTGTTAAGCTCTGATGCGTCAAACATTGACAAATGAAATGGTCTTTTCAATAGTTTTATTTTGAAAGCTGGGTGCAAATTTCACCTACGCTAAAGAATACGCAAATTGTGTAATGCTAAAGGGATGCGTGGATCCATAAAAGTTGCATCATGCATAAACATTCATATAAGGAGTGGATGCTTATATTCATTGAAGGATATGGTTCAGGGTTTAAATGTGGGTAGGCGTCATATTGACCATCCACACACATTCAAAGATGCCTTCTTTAGTAGTTTAATCTGAATGTTATATGGTACTTGCGACTAATTAGTAGACGAGACCATTTGTGGAGTTTACAATAACCATCCGGGTAACTGTGGATGAATGAAAAAAGAGTCAATTAATCAAAAACACTTGAGCCGATATATTGTCAAGTCTAGACACGGTGTGTAAAGGCAAAAGGGTCCCAAAAACCTGGTGGCAAAGGTGCTGTTTTGTTTGATTCTGCAGACAAATTAAAATATTCTAATACTATTTTCAGACATTATTTTGAGTACATTACTTGACCTTGACTAAATGAAAGTGGGCTTTAGCCTTTTCCAACTTTTTTAGTTTCTTAGATTATCCCTGTTCCTTTGCACCACAGAGGTGTGAAATTGTGTCGTTATAGCATTTAGTGAAATTTCCATACACTTATTAATACAATGAACATTATGCGTCCAAAGAACGGAGAGACCGAAGTAATGCTTGAAAAGTGCCAGGACCGAATAAACCACACAGAGACTCATATAACTACCTCACTGTATCATGCTTTTAGACGGACGGCATGCGATGCGTGGTGACCTCGGAATGGCGCTCGGTCATGAGCAACATCGAGACAATGAGCCTTCAGCGAAATCCTCCGGTAATGTTACTGTCGTTGAAATCGAATGCCTCTTTGTCCACTAAAAAATTACTTTACTATTATCATTTCTGAGTGACGAGGCAAAAGAGCGGACATGAGAGCGTCAATAGTGGATTTTAAAGGAGAGAGGCCTATCCTTAGTAGAGATTTAACTACACGGATCTTTTAGTCGCTGCAATTCTGCCGCCATATTTGTGCTATAGTGTCGTCTTAATACCATCCATGTTGATTGTTGTCCAAGTCCTCCTTCCACTGATAGTGAATAAGACTGTAGGCCTTTAAACCCTTTTATCTTCTCAAAAATGACTCTAATGCTATTGAGGCGCACTGTGCTGCAACCAATATTTGTTTAAATCGGTAAAATAATGCAGGGCTAAAATCAAATTACTTTTCGTAGATTTCCATTTAATAATGTCATTTAAAAAAGCTTCAAAGGTCCCTTTTAAATCCGTCTCACATCCATTTATTTCATTTGTTCCCATGAAACCAACAAATAAGGACCTGTCCCGAGAATTTGAGATGGGATTTCAACTGGTAAACCTACATCATGAATAGAAACAAGTCCATGCCACCCTGAAGCAAAGAACAATAGAAAGGGTAAGCGTGGCCTAAGGGGTGGGGGGTACCAAAATGGCAACATAGAGAATGATTAAATGGAATAATAAAGTATAAATAACGATGTTGCGGGGGAGCTTTTGACAGGGAGATGGTAGAGGTAAACTTACTTTAAGGTTGAACCAGTCCAGAAATTTGCAAAAGGTGGGTAAAGCGTCCTTGTTACTTCTTTTCTATTTGGTCTTAATATTACAAAAATGGGAACATAATGGGACTTTTATGATGACTTATGTCTATTTGCTTTATTGTTTGCAAAGTTTTATTTTTATTTATCACCAATTGTGATGATCACTGACAGCAAATTACAATTCCCGCAAAATTTAGCTGTTTTGCTCATTGAGAAATCAGTAAACTTATGTAGCTTCACACTACTTTTAAGCGTAGTTGTCTAAAAGGTAACGCGACAAGTTTTGTCAAGTGTAACATTTGGTTCAACAATTTCCACCCTCGTGAACCATTAATTTGACCTTTTACTTATTTTAAATCAATAGAATAAGAGATTGTCGGATTTTCCATATACAAAAGTTATCATCTTTAAAACAAGCCTTATATAGTCGTTTACCAAGCTTAAATATAGAATTAGTAGTAGTAGTAGTGCAGTTTTTTGGCCACAATTATTAAGCAACAAGTCACCGAGTGGTACGATCTTGGTGACTACGACAACACCGCCATCCATCAAAGTGGATAGAAATCCCGGTTTCCCATAAGATTTTTTGTAAACATGTAAAATTATTGCTCCAAATAATGCGTTATGACCTTAGCAAATCAGTCTTCTCCATCAAACTGTTAAGAGATGGAGTAAATAAAAGGGGAATGTGTATGTTAGCTTGCTCTGTTAATGGGCAAAATTGGCCGGCATGAAATGCACCACAGATTATGCTGCACCTTATCCACAAATGAAAGTTATTTATTAAAAAGTGTGTTCTTTTCGTCTACTTGAAAGTGCAAATTGACGCACCAAGAGCCATTCCACGAGGCTTTAGTTTATTCTTTGGTGTATTTTGATTTTGGATAGACGCTGAATGTCCACCATTTTGGTCACGCATTTTATAAATTTGGATAAATCCACTTTTAACATAAATTCTGCAGTCACATACGTAAACGAAGAGTTGTCCAGTAAATTTGTGATAATTTAAGTGCCACCGAATCAAATTTAAGTATTAATTTACTTGGAGGTAATTCAACATTATCCAAGACAACAAGTTGTAAGAAACAGCAGGATCGACTCTGAAACAGGCAGTTTTTGTAGAGATCTCGGATTGAACTTAATTATACAACCCGAAGTTTAGGCGCCAACTGACAGAGACTTTCTGCATACGATATCAAGCCATATCAAGCAAGGAAGGGAAGAGAGCATAGAACTAATACTTAGAACCCTCGAAGCATAAAGCTTACTACTTGTACCAGCAGATGTTGTAGATGAAATTAGGCCAGAGTATTTATCAGTCGTCGACCTATCGCAGTATGATAAAGAGCCCGAAATCCTTCAAGGTAAGGAAATAGATTTAAAATCTATTCAAGGAGCCTCTGACAACCGGCTACCTAAGCTGCTCCTTTAGCCAGAGGGACCGATATTTCATTCATTCGTTTTATACATTCTACATGTTGCATCATCTTAAATGTCGTCGTTGTCAATAGGAAACAAAGATCCGACTGATAGTTAGTTCGCCCGCACCGCAAATTGAGATTTTTCTTCTATCCACATGCGGCGATATTAACAACACCATCTTCTCAAATAAGAATAAAGACCAACAGCGGTAACACATGAGCTGATGGGTATAGTTGGGCAGAACTGAGGTGAGAACGAAACGACAGGGAGGAGTAGATGTTAAACCTCATGCCGACAAAACTAATTCAAACCCCGTCCTTTATTAAATAAATCTACTTTTGGGTCAGTGTTTGTACGACCGGTGATGGACACACGAGATGACCCGCATGTTATCCCTTCCCCCACTACAGCTCCCAAACAGGATGGAACTCCAAACCAAGTCAAATTGTTAAGAGGAATCAGTAAAGTTAAGATCAAATTCTTTTCAGTTACATGTAAATTCGATGACTGGAGCGACTGCTTCGTGGGTGTGTTTCTAATGGCACCGACTATGTTTTGATGGACAAGACTGTAGGTGGTGGCTGGATGGCCCCGTGTCCTTTAACGTTTGGCAACGAAAGTGGACCACCTAATTCGGAACCGTAGTTTCTTATCGACGATCCTGAGAAAGGATGAAACTTAAGACAAACAATAAAAACCAGTGTCTCACTGACATAAATGAATTGTATATTTACCTGTGTAAGCAGTTAAATAGGGTGACCACGTTGTTGCAGAACGATAAGTAGAGTAAGAGGATGATTCTTCTGATTGCCACAACACAAATCCTTTAATACGGTGTCTCAAAGGGTGCATAAATTGCTGTAAATAACTACAAATTTTTTAAAGGGAAGGGAAGTAAAATCCTCCTGACCCCGATTATCGTTAGTAAAAATCCACAAGTCAGGAGTTATTCATTAGCCGAAAGGATAGATGCTCTTAGTAAGATTGCATTATCCAAACCACTGCAAATGCAAAGCACAAATCGCTGGTAAAAATACCTACTTTCAAAAGAGATAAATAAAGTAAAATAAACAGAGGCTAAAAAGAGTCATTTGATAAGGACGAGTAGTTCAAAAAGCAGTAGTTGAGGATAACCAGGATAATGTGAACAACCGCTTGCCCTATGGACGATGAAAGTGATTCCAAAGCAGATCAAAGGAGGATGGATACTGGAGGATTCCCCTGCGTCTGTAGGAGCTGCGCAATTTAACGATAATCATGGTTCAACGATTTAGGCCGGGCAACGATTCTCCCAACCTGTTACTCGCCTTAAACACGGAAGTAGGACAAAACGTTAGGCTCTAACCCTAACTTACCTAGCGGGCCATTTATTGAGGAAAATAAGGAGAACCCGAGGTCGTAAGTGTACAAGAAATATGGTTAACTTAAGAGTACTTTGTCTGTGTGGATACAGGAGGAAGCCTGGATGAGGTGGTGTCAAGAGGTGCGGATGGAGCAAGAGAGAAGCTGCTAATGTATGCAACTTTCTATAGCCACCTTAGAGAAAAAGGGAACTACACACAAATTTGGCAAAACAGAGATCTTCTAGTGTTGACTTCGTAGTTCCTCATCTGCCTCTTTACCGGTTGGAGACTCAGTTTAAGACGAACCATACTAGAAGGGATTTTTATAAAGAGGTTTCTCGGCAGTACAAAAGAAGCTGAAGAGCCATTTCTAGTTTTAGAAAGGAAACGAAAATTTTTCCTACTATACTTGATTATATTATCCCATTTCGCTAGGGGTAGGGGAAAGGGTAGGAAGCAGGGCAGTGGCTTCCAAAGCAAGACTGTTACGCTCTGAGTGGTGCAGTTTAACGTGTCTGCAAAAAGGCTCTGTTTTCTCTGGTTTTCTTCCCTTATGAATTGTTAGAGGAATTCAAAGTACCTAGTCTTCTGTCCCCCTCATCTATATTCAATGTCTAGTGCATATCAGGGGTTATATGTCTTTAAATAGCTTAAAAGCACGACCTTCAGTGTAGCGCCTGAAGTGCTTGATCTGGAGATGGGCTGCCAACATTTCCCTTACAAGTGCACTAGGCCATGCCGGTCTTAATTGAAGACACCAAGGTTCATATCCAATTACCTTTTATGCCACAGCCCCTTCAACTTTCCATGAGGCATCTGTACCGAGGAGTAGCTTGGTAAGGACGATTTTTAAGAGGTCAAATGCCTTAGCTGTCCCATCGTTGAGTTTCAAACGTAAAGCACTTTTGCGCAAAAGGTCTGTGAATGCTTAAGAGTTCGATATAGGCGAGAATATAGGGCGGAAAAGTTACTGTGGTCTACAAATTAACCCAGTTAACAGTGGGAAGTTGGACGTGGATATTTCATGGTAACAGAAACTCTTTGGCTTAGGACTAATTCCGAGAAAACTGACAATATATGCTAGGAATTTCAACCATTTCACCCAAATCTGACACTTGCTTACATTGACAATCAACCTGTGTTATTGGAAGGGTTTAAGAAGGGAGCATACGCACTGCTTCTGTCCTTAGAGCATATCAGGTCAAATGGCGGTCCTCTAATTACCTAATTACAGCCCTGTATAGTGCGAATTGCATAGATCTGATATCTATAAGCTCGATGTGATTATAATAAATGCATTGGAAATGTCTTCTCGTTCCATAGGAATCCAGTGATAGGATTGGACCAGGTCGATAGCAGAGAAGGTTTATTTTTATACAGGACGACCGTAAACCGTGATAAAGTGGTTGTCGGGTGCTGTCGCAGCATAAAATGCACGACTTGGTTTACAAAGTCATGGGCATCGTGTGGAGAGAAGAAGATCAAGAGCTGCTAAAAGGTTGGAAAATACCCAAGTCCAACTTCCATACTTTGGATTTCTCTAGAGAGGGTTCCCTTGGTCCCACTGAGATAAGTAGGCAAATGGTAACAAATTGATGTGCGACGTCGTATTCTGGTGTGACAGATGAGATCGTTTGCATTGCGAAAGAAAATCGAGTGACAAGTGCTGTAAATTCATTATCAAGGGATAAGGCCACCCAAGGATGGATTAAAATGGGTTTCTTGCAGAAGGGAGAATACATGTACTATTTCAGTTGTTCTAAGTATCATTTTTTTGACAGTGTTGTGCATAGATTCATGGTTTGTAATCCAGCTGCCCCGTTTGGATGCCGAATGCCAAAGGGCATGAAGGTGATGCAACCATCACCTCCCTCGTCAGTCATTACAATGTAGCCGGTGCTTTACAGACAAAAGCACCCACGAACCAACCGTGCCAATCATCGAATCCGCGTACAACTGAGAAGATATTTTACGGCAGCGTCACTGATATCTCTTGGCACTTCTACTTGGTTTAAGGTTCCGTTTTGTTTGGGGTGGACTTAAAATAGTTTTGCGGGTAAGGCCCTACATCTGTTCCATCTTGCCACTTTGTTCTCACTTCAACGCCACCCAGCTGCATCTCTCTGTCTGGGTTCCACAAAGCTAGTAGAACATTTCCAGAGGATTCACGGCCACAGCTAGTGCTTATCTAGTTGTAAATAGTAATCCTACAGAACGCAGGATTGAAATGGTTTCAACGCTCCTGTTAGGGTTCGTCACAGATTAGCCCATCCACAGTACATATCATTTTCTGTCACGTTATCTGTATCATTCAGAAATGGAAATCAGAGTAGGTGTCCTTTAAAACCAGGTTTGCTTTCTGCTGCCACCAATGTAGCAGCCCGAGCCTTCCATGAAGACGAAAGAAGTCATAATACTAGGGCTGAATATGCACTGTCAATGTACAGAAGGGCATGCCTTGGAGGCCATTCTACCCAGCAGAAGTATAAAAGTGGAGCCTTTAGGGTCCGCAAAGCCCAAACGAAGAGCTAAACAGTTAATCAAGGCATTTCAACATATTACCTCCTAAGACTGATAAAAAATGGTTTCAGGCAGTTAGTGGATTCCCTATGTGATACTTCCAATGCACATTCCCTCATTTATAAATATTAAAGGAAAATTTGCTTTTTGAAGTCGGATCAGGCTGAAATAAGTCAGTTCAATGATGAATTTATTCATTTTACCAGCCTACGTCAACAGTAATGTTTTACCAACCTTTTTTGAGCCCTTGGTTTGTATACAGGAAGGACGTGGAGTGACATACTGCTAAGATCTCATGACATCCGGTGACATTTGAGAGTCGGACAAATGTTGGGTATGACGATCTCGCACTGCAGCCCTCAATCAAAACACATCTTTTCGCTCTCGATATACCACGAAATTATGTGGAGATTATTGGTAAATGTCCTTGTGAATTTGATGCCATCGACCCACCATTAAACCTCAAAGGAGCATGTAGCGGGAGTTTGTGTTTACCTCCCGAAAATTAGGTGATAATCTTTTGATAAATGACATCAGTGCATAGGATTCCGCGCGGAGAAGTTGCACACCTCTAAGTTGATTATGGCCTTCAAATATGGTGAAATTTTGCTCACCTCTTTCTGGCAACCTTGTTGACAGCTAAAATGCATTTCTAGTAGCTAGATGGCATTACCTGAAACATAAATTTCCAGTAAGCGCAATTATTTATCAAATGGATTACTTTTAGCACACCAGTTACCCTTGAGGAACGTTGTATCAATGACTCCGCAGACACAAGCTCCAAATGTTTGCGAAATGTCAATGCTTCTCGAAGCATTGAGAGTTTGAAAGACAGGACTCTACCGGTGCATACTTACATTAGGCGAATGGGAAACTTGTATCCGTCTAGGCTTACACCTAATTTATTTTATCGCCAAATAGAAATAATCTAGAATGGATAATTCTTTTCCCAACTGGGTGTTACCTTCCACTATGAGAAAAAATAAAATATTAAGCGCGGACTTATATATTGAAATAAAAAACCTAGAATTTCAGACTATTTTTGTGGAGACTTGGTTCAAACCAATGGGTGGGTTTCTTCAGTTTGGCGAAAAAAGTGGTAAAAATTGAATGAACATAGGACCGCTTTCAAGTACCTTGCATGAAATCGAATGTGGACCTTTGGAGGTGGGGAGAAGAGATGAAAAAGCTGAAAAAAATTTTCCATCAGCGGAAGTTTTTTGACTTGTGGCTAGGAATGGCGGTCTCAATCGCGGGACGCCATTAAGCGTTCGTTCGCATCATTCAACCCAACGACAAGGTGCCACCTCTCCAGATTGATTGACGGGCTTGCAAGTTCGGCACAGTTTACATAGAGTTATCAAAGCACTTTGATAATTTACTCAATCACGGGATGGTAGACCAAAATTGAAGGATAAATCTCGTTTGATGTTTATTGTATGATCTTGAAGACAGTCTGGAGAGTGGTAAAAGGACTTTACACTATCACATGATCGATCACTTTTGATGGAAAATGGATGCCAAATCTGTGATAGCGAAGAGCCACATTGAAGTGGATTGAGGCAAAATGCGTTAATAAATTTCCATAATCCATAAACAATAAAAATAAGTTTGCGCAGCTTGCCAAAGTTTTTACTCCAGAATATTTATGCATCAAAGAATTTAGGCAATTTGTATTTTTGATTCAAATCGGAGCTAGGTGGATTAATTAGCGTTATTTCTGAAGCTCTCGAGCCTCAAGAAGGACCAGAAATCCATGGATACAGTCAGAAGACCATACCCCAAAAAGGAGGGCAAATCACTGAAACCATGGAGCCCGCACACCAAAGCAAGGCTGGAAAGCATGCCAAAGGTTGTAGTCATGTGGTGAAACCTTTCATTGGCCTTTGTAGGTTATCTTTAGTTCTTAATCTTAATGGAAAAATGCTGAAATAGAGGTTTCAAAACTACTCCTATGCAATCAAAAAGAGTTCATTAAAAAATTAATTTGAAGGAGAAGAGGAGGTATTATGATTGCCAAGACTACATATCTAAGAAATAAATGGCAGCTGAAGAATAAACTTGTATATCTCTTATTTTAGTTTCAATGCAATGCGAATATAATTTGGGTGTACGATGCGTCCAAGAATTAAAAGATAAGCGAGACAATCATCCGAAGGAGAATTCTCAAATGTACTAGCTTTTAACGTCGAGTCTAACCACGTGATTACAGGTGAAACGAGGGCATCAAATAGTGGATTTGTTCAAGATTTAAAGGGTATGGTAGTGTAGAGCTCAAAAATCTCTACCGAAGAGGAAATAATTCATAATACCAGGGAAAAATATGCATATTTAAAGTTTAGAAGGGCTGAAGAGCTACTGGTGTGGTACGGAAGCCACGCCGTCCAGTGGAAAAATAAAGGCGAGGCTTTAGGTCCTTGATTAACCGAAATAATGGGTTAACCAAATAATTAAAGTATTACATGGCCACCTTGTCCTCTTTTGACATAGGTCTACGACTCTCTCCCTGACCAATCTCCCGCTTCGGTCACCACAAAGCAGTCAAAGCTGTCCGAAAAACACCGGCCAACAAACAGTGCCAGTCATCCAGTTTAAGTGCAACTAAGATGTTTGACCGAAACATCACTGAGCTCTCTTGAAAATTCTACTGGATTTAGAGTTTCGTCC